TCCCGATTGAGTTCATACGTGTTGGAATTGATTTTCCAAGTTCACGCATCAAATAGTCCGCGCACTCCAAACCCGATCCGTTTAACCGCTTCACTCGATCAATCACTGCCTCGCTGCCTTCCATACGTTCCACAAAACTACCACCTAAAAATCACACGCCTATTAATAAGACGCAAAAAAAAAAACATATTTTGACACAACCGTTTCCTACTCTATATCATTAGAATTTATGTCATCCCAAAAACTGTTTTAGGTTATTAATATCGACATAAATACATTCCCAATATCCTGCTCGTAAATGTCACGGCCACTGGCGCCTAGGACAGGTAGAAAGACTGTGACACTACCCATAAAAACATTAAATTCCCAACAATGAGCGGTGACCCTAAAAAAATTTTTCTAAAATTTATAACACCTCCCGCTACCCGGCCACCGGTGTAAAAATCCTGGGAATAGTCATATTCTAACAAAATTTAGTGATATGTCAAACCTGTTCGACGTAGCAAATAAAAATGTACGAGTCGATGGATAAAAAAGAAGGTAAAGACTTCGGGTTATTGCTAAAACAAGGGAAGGTTACCATATCAATCAAGGCGTTGACAAAAGTGGAATTTTTTCCTCGTGCTTGAACCATGGGATGAAAAAAAAAGGTCCGTGTTTATGGAAATGCAATAAAAGAGACACGACAGTACGCTGGCGCATCCCTACTGACAAAGCTAACCTTCTGTTATTTATATACTCGCTAGCAAATAAATATAATCGTTTTTATGGGCCAGTGTCAATTTAAATTATTTTAAGTAAACCTTAAACATATTAGTCGGTTTTTTAATACCCAAAATTGTTGTTAGCGTAGGTTTTCTCAGAATATTTCTATATAATTGTAAATATAAAATGTCTCAAAGATTTGCATAATGATGCAAAAAAATTGATCACTTTCGCATTTATCGCTTCAAGGGTAGCCTTACAAACGAGACGTGGTTATTTTAATAAGTTTTAGTGCATTTATAATATGAAGTACAATTATGAGACATGATTGGTGTTTAAGGCAGGTGTAACGAACCCACAGGTAGACTAAGATTGATAAAATAGTGCGGCACCCCGTCGAGTTGGCATCATGTCACTCAGCGAGCCGAGCCAGTGTCTCGAGTAATCTCGTGAGAACGTTACTTGCTAGAGATCATACACCGCATATTTTAAACTTAATATATAGTATATTAATTATTATTTTATTGATTTTACACATGAATGTTTTGTACGATACTTCCTTAGGAGTACAGCTCATCTAACTTTCCACTAACACTAGCATGACGTCATATAAGGAAACTATTACATACACATGCTATTCAACAACTTGTCGATGCTAGATACATACAAAATACAAACACATTTTAATAACTTACACACAAAATAATATACATTTTATCATTATAATATTCTTTAAAAATTAAAGTTCGTTAATTTAAATTCATAATATATCTGAAATGTCATCAAAAAGTCATAATCATGTGTACCTTCCGAGGTACATGGAACACGTATTACTCGTAACATCACATTAGTTGTGTGCTAAATGTTTATGCTGAGGGCATTATGAGAATCTTAATCTCAAATCAGTTGACCGCCAGTGACCGACCCAAGAACACATGACTGGCTCAAATGGATCACGATACTCTAATTTACGTTGCATGTTACTCAAAATTCATAATAAGCAGTTTGTTTTAAGTCGTAATTAGTGAAAAGGTTGCTTGATTAAAGGTCATACCAACTTTGTAAATAAATCACGTCGACATTTCGTTTTATTCACATATACGGTAAAAAAACAGACAAGATTTATAGCTGCGATTTCGGGATTTGTAAAATTTGCAATTATAACCATTTTTGGTTTACTTAAATGTTACATTTTTTTAGCATTTTCATTCCATAAAAACACTGGAAATTACAATTTGATATGTAAAAGTTATATTATTATAAAATATATCTTTGCTCTAAAAGTCTCTGTATCAATACAGTTTATATAAATTTATTTTTTAAATATAAATTTCGTTCTCCCTTGTAACTCAGTACAAAGACCGAATCAAGATTTATAGTAGGGACGGTGATCGATGGGCGAGAATTTTTGTACCGCCACAGCGCTCACTACTGTATCGTATAAACAATATATTTAATTAGCTCTGACCTCTGCTTAATGAGTTAATCGACCTCTTTGACATCAAACTTCACTCCATACGTTTGGTTGAAACGAGCTCAATAAATAATCCTAGAGTAAAAGGAATAAAAACACATATATTTGATGGTTTTAATTTCCCAGAATATAAATTTAAATGACGCCAAACCTCAGCAGTTCCACGGAACATTCCTCGCTCGTATTACGTCACCGCATACGTAAGGCAGACAGTGTGGGACCGATACGGGCTTGAGGCTGTTGAATTTGTATTGTAATATTTATTTGGCACTTGCTAGGGCCATGAATGCCAAATAGCAAATTCTACGAGCGTTGTTCAAGAATTGTTCATGTATGAGGATGTGGCGATTTAGATGTATGATAAAACAAGGATTGCCTTATAATTGAGACATTTGCAAGCCACCTGGACTTATTTAATGGCGTGGGAGATTTTATATATAGAAACACGGAAATTGAATCTCAACATAGCGAATTGACAGAGTCGAGAAAGGTTCTCTAATTAATTAATTAATTGACATGAATTAATGTATTTAATCTGAATTCGTCTTTTCTGTGTATGGATATACAAAATAATAAATTAAATTTTAATACAAAAGTAACAATACTATAATATTTAAAGGTCATACTCTTAATACACGAACCTGTACATTCTAACCAGCGAATATCAACCTTATGAACTTACTGTATTATAATTTTGTATGCATATCAAATAAAATTGTTTGACTTCGTGTCTAAAATAGTCATACGATCCATGCGATTTTATTTTAAGGATATCATTAACATAAGATAATCATTTTGTAGTAGCAGTTATGAACGGGCCATTAGGACAAATTCTTATAAAAATGTAACAAAATCTACGACTAGCTACTTTTCTTGTTTATAAATTTTGAAAGCAATTACCATTACCTCCCAAAGTATTATTACGATGCATAATATACTACACTATATATTTTATATTTTCATAAGCAGATGTGTGCAACAATTTACAAAGAGGTTTATTTTTATTTAATATGAATAATTATTGCAGTCTCAATGGGTATCCTAGTTTTACATATCATAAGAACATTTATCGAACTTTTAAGGTATGGCTAAAGAAGCACATGTATTACCATTTGTGGACTTACACTTGTAATGCTATATTTATGGCGACATTTCGTAATTTATCGAATAGTAATTAATATGTGCAAAACAATTTAATTAAAAGTTATAAACTAAGACAGTATAAATGATAGTAATTGTATGAAAATTATACTTTAATTTTTCTTTCCCACAATATTATTATGACTGAAAATAATGTAAAGTATATTAAAAATACCTAATAAATTTGTCATAATACAGTAAATCTTATTATTCTAGCAAGAATATAATTTGTACTAAATAAAAATATATATTTTATAAACCAGTATAATAAAAGTTATCGCACCCATCTTTATACAGGCGAGTTATAAACGCGCTTCTGAATGCAAGTCATTACTGTTTTCATTTTACTTTGTTTTATTACACCTCGTAAAGAAAATTCAAAAAAAAATTCACTCCCTTTATTTATATTTAATTTGTGTTATAAACTGTTGAATTTCTGAAAGGATTCCTCCGTGACTTTAATGTTTCTTTATAAATATCTAATAAAATTAATTAAATGACAAAATTCATTGTTTATTATTATCATTATTATTGCATGTTCTATGTCGCATTGTCAAAAGATTCCCACTTTAATTGTGTCAAGTGCATGAATCCAATTAGTCTATGATTATTGTTTTAATAATTTGTAAATGCTTTAACTGGAGTTGCCCAATTATGAACATTTCCACAAGGTCTTGTTTTCGTAATCATTTAATAGGTTAGTTATTTTATTATTAAAACATTAATTAGTTGGGAGTAACTTTTTTGATACTTAGTCTTTATTCAATGGTTAAAGTTCATATGATATAGAAGTAGATTGTTTGAACTATATATTTAAATATTCGGACATACTTTATATACGTATTTATTGTATATGGCAGAGTTAAAACCGATTCGCTCCGTCGCGGACATTGTTATAATTTCCCACAACGAAATTAAAAGTGTAAATTCAATGTTAAGCAAGCCGCATTAACGGTATCAACAGTACACTGACTTTGAATATTAGAATCACGGCTTACATACATCCGGGTTTAAAAAGCATGACAAAACCAGCTACTTGGAAATGTTTACAAATGAAATTAAAATAAAAGTATACACCCACACACACGAGCTGGTCGTACTAGTACCAGCGATTATATCATAATGTTTGGACATTACGTAATTTAGCGAACAAAAGGCAAATATTTCGAGTCGGTCGTCTAGTTTATGTCAGCTGGTAGGGTATTAAGGTAAATTGTACAATTGTGGACACGAGCCACTCGTTAGCCTAGCCGACGTGATGTCTCAGCGGCTATGTCGCATTGTTTCAGTTTTATGCGTGCCCGACCTTAGATTAAACGTTAACTCGACGATTTATGGCGGTCATAGAGATACTAGTTCTGACCGGCGTGTCCTCTTTCGTCGAAAAGCTCAGGTTTCTTAAGAGCCCAATTTGTGGGAGCACTTAATGTGCTGTCGTGCTCGAATTCATGCCCCGCCTTTTTATTGCTGCCCCTAACTGTAAACAACACCCATTTCGGGTTTCGTTTTATGTTGTTTAACTGACACTAGCAGATAAATCTGCTTAATATTAACGTTGAATGCAGCTCGTTATGAAAATGTTATAACAAATATTCTGCTCTTTTACCGTTGGAGTTTAAGAGACAATATATTCATCGCCTGAACGGTCAAGCCAAATATGATAAATTGGTCGGATTCTTACACTCACCAGTCTTCGCTTGGGCTTGATAAGTGGTCGATTCTGTCCGTTCATCTTGTAGTAGAGTCCACAGGCGTTGCACAAGTAGTGGCCAGTACCGTCTCGTCTCCACAGAGGAGTACTTGTAGCACCGCAGTTGACGCACTCACGACCCTCTGCGGTTTATAATAACTATTATATTTCATAAATATTAACATCGAATCAATAACTTTGGGACTATTCTTTTAAAAGCTATATCATTTTGGAAATGAATTAATTTATAGTTAATGTTAATATGCAAATTATATATAAATTAAAAAGCAAACCAAAACCAGTAAAAACAACACCAAATATATATAATGGATATTTAAAGTAAACGAACTAATGTTTCTTTGAAATATGTGTTTTACCTGTCTCCTGGCAGGCTGGGAAAGACGAGAGAATATCACATTCAGAAACATTACCAATTAATATTAACTATATACTTGGAAGCATGCAAAATAACAGTTCATAACATCATACATCTAACAGTAAATGAATTCCGTAACTATGATAATACATTTTATTCAATTAACAAGGGAAAGCAGAGTTTCACTCTTGGAAATCAAGATTTTTTTAACACGCAAGGAAAATTTAGTGAAAGTAAAACATTAGCGCATCACAAAGCAGTCACCCTATAATTTATAAAAAAAATGTTAATTTATCAACGTCTGACTAGTGATATAATAGTAAATAACAAAAGTACAGCAAACTTTGTACTGCAATGTAACATAGAACGTAACCAATATGGCTATCAATAAAATATGTGAAAAAGAAGTGAACTATGGTCGTATTTATAATTTCATTATGCACAAAAGCGAGTTTCTTTAACAAAATAATGTTGCAAAAAGAGTGCTATTAAACAGAGCGTAAACTACCCATAAAGTATAACCTACATGCTAATTTTCACTATGTGTAATTGTATTTTACATGACTTATGAGTTATAACAATTTTTAACGCAAGCAACCGGTGTTATGTTTGCATTGCAAATTGCATATTTTTATTGATTTCTTATATACCAAGCCATCTACTTATATTCGAAAAAAAGGAACGAAAATACACATGCTCTATTGTAAAAGAAAAAATCAAAATACATGCAGAATATTAAATATTCAGCCCCATTTAGAGCTGCCCTCCGGGAAAACACCGTATTTTTTCTTGTTACTACTTTTATTTGGCGAATGTATAAAAAATATTTTCTATATATATATAAGTCAAATCAATTTCACGAAGATCGATTTCTCACGAGGCTATTCACATGTTACCCGCGCGAGCCGCCCCTAATCTTATTCTAAACTCGATTACCAGATCGATTATTTATCGAGATCGATTTAAAAATCCATTTAGTTATTCTTATGGTTTTAACAAACCTCATCGGTGGTTTTTTTCTAGAAATAGAATTACTATTGCAAAGATTATAATATTTACAATAGTAAATAAATTTGCAATAAGTTAAGATGTGTCTTCAAAAATATTTTTAAAGCCAATGTTATATACGATGAAAGAAATTAAGTAGAATATGTGTTATAAAATGATAAGTCAGGTATATAATACAAGTACGATACACTATATTAATATAGATTCCAGAACTAAGTCTAACAAGAAAGGTGAAAGTGCTCGATTCCAATAGAAAAAATATGTCTAAAGAACACCAAATGTTACCCCGGCTTGAGGCAGTACAGCCATTTATCTTTTTTATGTAAAACCAGATCACAACCGGCAATTAAATCGCCCGAACTTTATCGAAAACTTATTGCGATCGAACCGACAACTCACTTTTTGGGCTAACCCTTTATTTTTTGTGAGCCGATAAAGCCTGTAATTTGTTCCGAGGTTTCTAATAAATAAACACCAATAACGATAATTACGTTAAAATAACAGGATATTACAAGTATCTTGGAGTTTTATGTGAATGTCTCTAAGTTGGACGCGGATGATACTTACATCAATACTAATATCTCTATTGATAAAGCTCTTGTGAAAGTGGAAGCCGCGGGCGGCGAGATAAAATATACCGCCACCTGGACCGAAATCACATGTTTTATTTAGTTGCCAGCTTATTAATCGACAACATTGAAATCGCTTAATCTTTAGCATGGACTGGTTCACACCGTGAGAGGGATTGCTTCACTTCTCTGGTTGCGGGGACTATCGAACGATCTTACGTTCGCCGCTGGTTGACTGGACGTGACGCTGACTTCAAATAAAGATAGCATTTAGTGCGCAAGTAACGGTGCCCGTCCAGCTACAGATAAACCTATCCTAAACTGCACAACTTGAGCGAAAAATTCCAGTGTTCGTACAAAATTAGAATGCGGCGCGTTCTTTATAGCCCAGAGTGACGTGCGGTCGTGACACGGCTGTTGTACGTGACCGCGATAAAAGATTTTCATCTGCCATATTTACGTAGCCGAGTGGGCGGTTTTTATATTTCAAGAGTCTCTAGCTAGCACTCGGCCCCGTCCACGAGGAGCTCGCGAACTTTTCACACGGCCCGCTCACAGGGAAATAATTGAGTTTCCCGGATTGATGTTCGCTAGAAGTATCCACTTGGGAATTAGCGGTGCGTTCGTATCGAACGTAGGCCGTTAGTGTTATATAAATGGTTGAGTAAAAACTGAAACATAGCCGACTATGACGCCAATACGGCGCTGGATAATGTAATTTAAATGAAGGACTAATTTGCTCCCGTGTACCGTGACGCGCTCTCTCAGCGCATCGGCCCATCAACACGTAACGGTGCGGCTATTTTGCATACAAACCATTAAATTATTGCTTAAAAATTATTCTTTGTTACGCCACGGAGTCTGTTATTATTTCTTAATAATTATATGTCTGGACGTTAATAAGAAACACAATCGGGGGCAATGGCGTATTGTTTTATTTCGTGTTAGAAAACATAAATAAACAAATAAATAATCACAGATTTTTCTTTTCAATTGCAACGAATGACAGTGTAATAGGTTGGGATGAAGTCATTTCTCATATCAGCGAGTACGAAGCGGCGGTCATATTTGCATTGGTTATTATCATACTGCCAGATAATTACTTGTGACGCCGTACAATGAGCAGTTGCATCGAACCCCGTATAATTACACATCTTTGATATGAAGCTGTAATAAGACGAACGTGGCCGGCGGGGTTTTTTTACATACTTAACTTATTAAAGTACTGAAACAAATATGTATGTAGTCTTATCAAATGAAATAAAGTATAAAACAGACGTATAGCGTGAACACATCACGTTGATTCTCTTGGTTGTTTTATTGTGAATTAATCACTGAATTTCCGTCGAAGTCATATGCAAATTTCGTATGTTGCAATTGTATCCCACAGTTTGAACCAGCGACCGTGACAAGACCACTATATTGTTGGCTGCTATATTGTTAGTATATTTAACACAAAATATTCATTAGTTGAGGTTACCAAACGCCTTTATAGCGGACCTCTTTGTACTCTTACGGGCTATCAAAACATTTAATTAAACGTGAAATTTATTATCTTCGATGTTTCCTGTTCTAATATAAACGCGTGTTAAATGAAATGCATCTAAATTTAATATCGGAAATAATCAGACTTAATACAAATCGGTAGAACACGTTTTAATTACAAATATAGGAACTAGGTCTCGTATCTGAATTACATGACTAAAAACCGAACCGCTTCTTCATTCTATAATTACACATTAAATCACGTCTTAACAGAGACAAAGAACAAAAAACGTCTTAAACGATTCAATAATCAATCATACGAACATTGAAATCTCATTATGCAGATTAAAATTACAGCACAAGTCTAGCATAAAAGAATTGCATTCAATAAAAATAATAACACACTAAGAGAACCGTCCCGGCTTCATTCCTCTAAGTCGGCGGGCCGTGGCGTACAGTCGCACCACTGAAAAACATACTCAATTTATTCATACTATTCTCGCATTTAAATCCAGGTCATAGAGACTATAATTATATGCAAAGATTTGGCAATCCAGCATTATCTTTTTATGAAATGTATGACTCCACTAATTGGTTGCGCAACTTTCCGCGAAACATCTTCGTTGCAGCAATACTACGTGAGTTGCATAGAAACTCTGTTGTAGATGTTATAGTTTGTGTAAAAATTCATACGAATATAATCCATAATTCTGTGTATTAAGAACTAGACTGTCGCAGTGCAGCTTATATTGAGATACGTTGCATTTGAATTATTGTTGAAACACTGGAATTGTAGTTTAAATTAAATGCCATTTAAGTGAACGTACCGTTATTGTTTTAGAAAGTACAAAGAAACAATTTAGAAGTTACCCATTGTTTACTTTTGTGTATCACTGTTCCTGTTATGATATGAATTATAATATTTACATTAATTATATAGAAACGAAAACATGCTCAGAATTATATCTCTTATCTATTGCTAAAATGTTGCTAGTTGAATAATTAAATGTAATTGACATTTAAAATTCGTGTATAAAATCGATTATTCGATATGTAGAATCGCAATTAAACTCTCATCAGAATACTTAGAAATTAAATAATAATGTACGTATATATGTAATTTCTTCTTAAAACCGTTTTCTATACCGAGGTCATCCCAACAATGAAACAGCCAACATCCGGCCAAGAAACGTTTGCGCCTTAACAGTTATAGTATTCATTCTGTACTTACGATTTATGCGCAATTTTAATGTCCCTTAACTCAGTACTTGCTCTTGTAATGTCAGAATAATTATGTTTATCGACTCTATCAATACATTTATTATTGGTGTTCGATAAAAGATTAAATATATTAATACACAATATTCAAATATAATTATAACGTAATTTATGTTAATGCGATAGGTTGAAAGCATGTTTGTTTAACAAAAAAAATCTATCACAATATAATGCACGGTTTAGATATCAAAAAACTTTATACGTAGGAGGAACGCTTTACATAATTATAATTAAAATTTCATAATAAAAAAGTCTACCTCATCATATACACTTTTTTTCATATGAGATGTCACACGTCAAATATCAAATTAGAATATGTAATGTAGTCATATAATTTCACGGTGTATTAAACAAATTCCTGTTTATTAGTTTAATATTGATTGTTAAATGTTAGGCGGCCTTGTTAGCGATCAGACATCCTGCTAAATATCGAACGAGGCTTTCGCATACGTTTTCCTTGAACCCGGTGCTAGAGGTCGGCTACAACGTATTTTGTAATGAATAGAATATATATAGATTAATCTCATTATAAATCTGGATATAACATTTATGGCTGAACTATGTAACGTGTTAGAATTCATATGTTTTTTAAACTGGTTCCAATATTTGAAAATGGAACTTGATGTCGTAAAACTAGCAATTTTTTTTTCTATTTTTAACCGTCTTTTTATTTTATTTCTAAGTTCAAATTATTTTATTGCAAATTGCATAAAAATACAGTATATCTGTATGAAATATCATCAAAAATATAAAAGCAATTGAAACTGAAAATATACATAAAAAAGTCTTGTTCGTCAACAAAAACTTTTTTTTGTTATTATTGAAATTATTCATGACATAATCATTATTTAAATCCAATTATTCTGATTGCAATGTTTATTTTAATGAAACAAGTTTTCATTGAACCGGTTTAGGTTCATACGGAAATAATTTAAGTGAATTTTGTATAAAAACTCAAAGTAGGTATATTATAACCATCCCCAGAATACCTTTTTAAAATCATTAAAAGTTTTTTTAAGTTCGTTAATAAAGTTTTAGGCAAATCATCGAATTAATTTAACGTGCTGTTATCCATAAAAAGGAATACTATTTGGAAAAAACATTTGAAATGTGAAACGATTAGAAAATTTATATTGAATAAATAAAAATTATAATTCACCTAACTCTAATTGCTGCCAGTTTAAAAATAGCATAAAGTTAGAATTATTCCAAAACCATCGTTATTATAGAGTGAATAAGATTCAATCTCATTTGAATAACACAAACTGTAATATAATCTCGACACTTATCGTTCTTATATAACTGTATGACATTTTCATTAATAAGCAATACTTCCGCCGATAACGCGATTACCAAAGAAGTATTGACAGCACATTTCAACTTTTTGCTACAAAGTTATCACGGCATCTTGTAATTATCTCTGTGAAAACCATTACTTGATTAGATTCATGCCCGTGAGATCGTAGCGTAGCTTGTTAAGTTTCACAAAATATTGAATAATAGCTGTTCCAAATTGAATCTTAACATTTGCATGTAATGCTTTAACTTTTAAGTAATGAGAGACAATAAACCTCTTGTTCCCTTCTATTGTCGGTGCTTTGCTGAGAGTTGTAATTATGTATAAAATAAAAAGAAGGTAATACAATTACTGTTGGGTAATTCGGTAATATGATGTATTCGTCATGATGTACGTTGTTGCGAAGTTCAATTGTTGGGGTAACAATGGTCGCATTAGCCACTAAGGTCACTAGAACAATATTACGCGGATCTAAATTTTAATTTGTTATATGACTGTTGTTAGACATCATTGTTGCTTCAAAACTATTTATATTATAATATAATCATTGTTTTTTCGCGACAAATTAAACCTGTTTTATATGAAGTACTATCAGCTATGATAATAATTTGTCTTTGTGACTTTCATCTGTAGTCTCCTACGTGAAATTAATTAAAACATGAGCTTGATTAACTGATAAGTTCTTTTATATTTTAATTTAAAGTCAACTGTTTCATAACCTCGGTGATTGTCTTTTAAAATTGAATAGAAAGCTTTATCTCAAGTAAAAACAATAGCAATTAGATAATAAGAAACCGTTTCAGCTTAGACAGTTTTGTATGCTGATCGGGAAGTAATTAAAGAATTCATATTTTATATAAGATAAAATAAAATGGTTTTTAAGAATTATATTTCCAAGTAGTATTCCGTATATATTTCATAATCAAACCGAAAATAATAGAAGTCACTATTGGTTTTATCTCAACAGCTTACTTTAAGCGACACGATATTTAATCAGCGCATAATTCATATCAGAAACCATTAAAGTTAGTGCGATTTGAATATATTATTTAGCCGGGTTAAGTATTGATTAATTTTGTTTGACAATTTCAAATAGATTGAACGCTAGTTAGAATGTTTCTCTGGGTATAAAAATTTAGTATTATTATGAAAACTGTTAGTTTTTAAAAACCCATCACCGTTTGCTGTTAGTAAGCTATACGTAACCCAACCCCAGTGCAACCTACCTCATCAAATCACATCTCAATATATAAAAAATATAACAATTCAATATCAATATCGACAATCGAAAAGAGACGCGACTGTTATTTTAATTTACACAACGATAGTAAACACCACAATGGTTTTTGATTCTACCGATTAGTACCTACAGTACAGCGTTTATTTTGAAATTTTATATCTGATATCAAATAGTTGGGATGAAAATAATTGTAGATATAATAACGGCGTTATTGTTCTAATTTATCTGTTGTTTCAACCTTGTGACTAAAACACCTGTACAGTGACCATTCACCAATGATATAGTTATAATTGTATCGAGCTCGTTAGGTAGAGCAATCTCATTTTTGATGGAATAAAAGTCTATTGTAAATCAACAGTATTTGTTGATAATATTTAAGAACTTCTAGAGATGTGATATGATGATCGTAGGTCATAGTGTAGTGCGAGCGAGCTCAGTGCAGTACGATGGAGTGAGCATCCACGACTCACCGGCGCTAGTTCTAGTCTTGTTAGGCCGTGGCTTACTCTGCTGCTGCCCGCTATAACCCTTCCCTTGATAGTTGTAGTAGTCGCCGGCGGCGGCGTTGTACTGAGCGTTGTATTCCCCAGAGGGCTGACTCTCTTGGGGACACGAGTCCGGCTGCGCACCTTCGCGTTGCTTAGAAGGCGGCGCACCCATCATGGGCTTCACGTCTCCACATAGAGGCAGCTCCTGTTGCTGCTGCATGAACGCGACGCTCATTGCCGTGGCGTGAGCAACGGCTGCTTGATAGTCTTGTTGCCCTAACGCCGCGGCTGCCACGGAATCTGGGGTGGAGTCTTTTGGGGGTGTTGGAGGGAAGGAGAAGAGGGGATGGGGATGGGGATGCTGTGCAGGGGACAGGGGCTTATCGGCGGGGGCATCCTGTTGGAAGCCCCCGCCCCAAGCGCCGCTGCCGAGAGCTTTGGAATCAAGCCACGGATGCAACGGCGTGTGGAAGTGAGGCCTGCAGACCTGACTGCTACTCCCGCTTAGCGTTCGACCTGCACATAGGAAAAAAATTATGTCAAAAAACTGATTATGAGAAATGTACATAGTCAAAGTTTTGCTGAATATTTTTTTGTTAGTCTAAAAGTAGTCTCGATAACTGTCCAAAATCTGAGTTACATATAAAGCTAAGTTAAGATAATACTTTATAAAATATTATAATTTTTAATTCAATATATTCAAATATTAAATATGTTTTTATTTCTCAAACAATATTCCAAAAAGACAAAAACGTTCCGATTGCAGAGTCATTGTCCAAACCAGCGTCATTAGGGTCGACGTTTCGAAGGCGTTCCGACGAGCCCGTGATACCTAAATTAATATTATTTGGATTCAACAACTCTTTCACACGACATCTCTATTCACTAAATTAACATGACCATGTATATTTCAAGCTTTAATGTATATTTGATAAACAAATAACGGCTATTATTCTATACCAGTCTCGCTGGCTGCGTCCGAGAACAAAAGGCCGGGCTTTTCCAAAATTACAAAAGTCATGTCACAACAACCGCCAATTAAACTAGTGGGCCACTTGGAAATAGAGTTAATTAAATACTGTGTACACAACAATCATTTGTTTTAAATGCATTCGTAATAAGCAGATTTAAAACATTATTTATAAAGCAGTAATTAGCGAATTACTCATTAGATATTTAAGAGCAAGTTTTACGTAGTTTACCGATAGAACTTATTTATTATATTTGTGTATATTATTTACCAAATTCAAAGCCACCCAAAAATACTCAATAGTTGCACCCTATTCCATTAGATATACAATTATAATTTATTTATAAAAGTGAAAGCAAACATATGTACATGATCGCAAGGGCGCCATGATAATTGTAAAGGCTGGTTGAGGATTGGCGGGTAAGTTAGGGGAACATCGCGGGGTCAGTCAGGGTAACAATGTTGGGACATCCCCGTCGCGCACTGCGGGTAACAACTACCAATTACCCGCACACAGTTTCACAGACCTATATTTTATTATATCGACATTCGGTTGTTTTACAATGTAGCTCAATGTATTGACTTATCAATGTTTGACATCTTAAAATCGTGCTGTTTTAATTGTGGGTTTAAATTCGATCGGAATATAGTTTTCATGGAAGATTTTATTTAAATATATGGACAAATGAATTAATATACCAATCACAAAGGCTGACTAATGCGGTGCTTTACCTATGAAGAGGATGATGATGGCTAAGGCAATGTGATCCTTATTTCTATAAATTTAAGATCTAAGTCCATTGAATGCTGCCCGCATCAGATCCAGGTGGTGATAGTACAGATATCAGAGATTCTTATCAAGAGCACCCGTACAAAAAAGTGAACCGTGTAGCTCGTCGAAATATTAATTAGTTTCCGTATTTACATTATGCAATATCACCTCGCCATTATCCAAACACACTCGCTTTAATATACAAATTGTTTTAAAATACCAAAAAAAAAATTCACAGGATACATTTTTGAATAACTCAATTCTATTATCGTCACATAGTATAAGAACAGCTCCAAAGTTAGTAGGTATTTATTTTTGTATGTGATGATATATAAAAGCAAAATAACTAAATATAGAAAATAATATATATACAGCTGTTTTAAGAAGGTCCCTGTTTTTAAGGTCATCAAAAATAATATAAAATTTAAATAGTGCAATTAAAATAATTAGTGCGTCACATTAGCCGTGAATACATAGTGTTTTGACGGTGTCCCCTCGTTTACAATACACGGACAGACTGACGATGGCTAGCCGATAACGTTTGCATAATTCAAGTTATCTCAACATCTAGCCACATTACGCTACCACTTCTACTATGATATCAAAAATCAGCAAAACTATAACAAAATGTTATACTAAAAATAAACGACAAAATATTTCCAAATAACATGGTAGAGATGATTCATATTCATTAATTGTTTTGTCTGTTTTGATTGTAATATTAGACGATGATTTTATAATTTATAATAAGTTTTATTTACCAATATAATGTTATATAATAAAAAGTATAGGTATCTATGATAAAGCTTCAAAAATAACAGTGTTAAAACTGATTTTAATGGCATAAAAATATTGTTTCATCATTTATAAAGAAAACGTTATATAAATAGTTGTATATAAATAAAGAATCAAATCATAAACCAATCATGGTGAGTTCTCACAGCCGGCAGAACGGAATCGAACCCCAACCCCCCGGCAGATGCAGCTCTAGATGTTATCACGCCGCAGGGCTACGGAACTTTTGGTATTGTAAGTTTATACTGTAACGGTTTTTTAAGACACCCCTCCATCATTAAATTAATTTTCATTTACATACAAACGTTCCGGAATTAATTTATGCTTTACATAAATATATTAATAACCTCTGACATATATTTATATATGTTAAAAGTTTCAAGAACAGTATCACGTTTATATAAACCAGTTATATAGGCTAATTTGTATGATATTTTTATCAAATATATTTATTTGGTGGTGGCCTCAATAAATCATAAAGCAAATTACTTAAAGCATCTGCATATGAGACCCATTTTACACAGTAATATACATATGAAATGTATTTCAATTAAAAATATACATAATTTTTATATTTCGGGTGTGGCTATAGGGGACTACCTCCCTTTTTACAAAATTACCTTACTTTTTGCTTCCTCCTAAACTGTGAAATTATTTGTACATACGTTTGATATGCACGATATTATTTTCAGCACGCAATTCTTATGTTATTATTCACATACGTTTCATATATCCTACTTATATTATAATTGAGAAAGTTTGTGTGTGTGTATGTTTGTTACTTCTTTACGCTCAAACGACTGAACCGATTTTGATAAAATTTTGTATACAGAAAGCTGACGTCCAGGAATAGCACATAGGCTACTTTACATCCCGGAAATCCCGGAAATCTGAAAATCCGCGGGTAACACCGCGGGGCGCATCTAGTTATGGAATAAGTATTAAAGTGTGATAGTCCTAGCATTGAACAGAAATAGTCTTATAGTGTTAAACATTTTATTCATCGTAAATTTACATATGGAGGTGGTACGAACACGGTCCAATGGGACATGTAAGTTACGGCTACGGCTCCCAAAAACAAAACATCTTTATCGGAGCAAGTGGTACTGTCAGAAAGACGGAGATGACTTCGTGAGAAACATCGTCAAGGCTTCAAGGCCATGCTAGCGTCACTGAGTCTGACCGTTTGTTTGCTGTACGCGACCCTTGAATGCGGTATGAGTGCGTGTCGGCGCGTGTGTAACTCACCTAACTATCAAACACGCTAACTTATCCCTTCCATTATTGTCTCTAGAATTGTTTATCCTTTGTTCCCGCGGATCATCGAGCATATATCATCTTCTATATGATCTTTATTACAATGTTATAAGTGTCACAATCGCATGGCACACGTCCCCTGTGTAATGTCCGACGTGTTAGCGAATGATAAATGTAGGCGTCAGTATCTCGTATCGGATCTCAACGTTCGCACGCCGAATTAATTTTAATTTATTGATCGTTGTATTTCAGTTGCCTACTAAGATGTCCACGGACTTGCTATTATTAAAATACAAAGTATCAATGGAATACGATCAACAATATCGAATACATTTTTTAATGTCGGTACAGAAAAATAATTTAATAATATTTACTATATATCAATTTATAACTCCTTGTAACCTTTGAAATATATGATGAAGAGTGAATAAATTTTTATATATTAATATATACGCTAACATTTTATTATTTTTATTATATATTCATATAACAGATTCATTAATATTAATTCGGTGTAAATGTAATATGTAATTGCATAATTTATTTTCTAATAGTTTATTTAAGTAAATTTGAACATTTCCGTTAGTTTATAACGCTTGTTTCAATGTGAGCAGTTATGAAATATGATACTGTACATATTTATATAAATTAATAAATATAATTATAACTATTTGCTTCATTTTAACACATAATTAAATAGTTTTATTTTGGAAGGACGTTAATGATATATTTATTAATATTAAATACAAGTAAATTACTATTTAACTTGAAATAAATTTTTAACTAAGTCCAAGAAACCTATCATAGGTAGTATTGCTATCGCTTTAACTTTCATTTTAAATCGATGCTCGTGACTTAAGTCACAAAACAAATAACATTGTTTTAATTTACATTATGTAACAATTATGGGTCCATTCAAAACAAAATAACCTTATAATTCTCGTTAGCGTCGTATGTGTATAACCAAAAAATGTTTTACGAGCACCCAAGCCGCGTCCCGAATTGTAAAATATAAACGCGGGCGGTCACCTCACTTTACATTCTGATTGGATTATAATACATTTATATTAACATTCTTATTATTACGGTTGGCTGCCGTGGCGTGTGACAGGCGACGTCGGGAATAACAACTAGTGACGGAGAGCGGAAGAACGTTAGCTCGAGCCCCGCGCCGATCGATACACAACCCGCTTAATATCCGGGTACGATTTTGCCAACCCAAAATCAACTTACCGAATACATCGAGAACTTCTAATTAATACTATCAGAACTAATTACGCGATGGGAATTCGATAATATTCGATAATAATTTATATAGAATACTGTTTCGGGTTTCTTGTTATTATTTTTATTATATTATTGTTATTATTACTTGGGTTATATCTGTAGTACTGTAACCTGAACGTCAATACCATTCGAGGAGCGTCAGAAGCCGTTAAGTCGTACGGATTATGCCGAATAGTTGAGACGTCGTGGGTGTCTCACAGTGATTTATAGCCCCGTATCGATGCCATAAAGATGGTGCACACCGAACGCGTGGCTGTTAATAAAGACGAATTGTGAAAAGGTTCAAACATCGACCGTAGAACGACCAGCGTCCGGGAACGATTGTTTCGTGAATTGGCGGCAAAACTGGTTTCTAATGGACGACGACGCTTACTCACTTACATTAGATACACGCTGAGTTTGATATACTTAATTTGTACCGAATAGATATTTATA